ATAGCGAGAGGGTGAGAAGGAGATGGTGGACCGAGAAGAGGAAGAAGAAGAACTCTCTCTCTCTCATGTGCCAGGTACTAACCTGTGAAGATGGCGTTGTGCTGCAGGTACCTCGAAGACGAAGCTGGAGCAATGGCGCTGCAGGTAAGTCTCCCTTACCTCCGCCCAATCTCTCTCTCTCTAGTACTACTCTAACTCCTATGGCGCCCAACGCTGAAGACTACTCCTAACGCTACTAGCGCCAAGCGCTGAAGACTGTTGCTAACACTACTAGCGCCCAGCGCTGAAGACTACTGCTAACGCTGCCACTACTACTGCAGCGCTCCTCCAGAGTGCTGCTGCCGAATCCTGAAGACTACCTCCTGCCTCCTGAACTGCACGTGAAGGGCCTGGGAAGTACCTAGGAACTACCTGCCTGCCTGCAGGGCGGGCCAGTCCTATATAGTGTTGGCCCGTCCAGGAGGCTGCTCTTGCCAATGCCGAAACGTGCCAGACCCTGGCGTTGAAGCTCAAACAGGGGTTGTCTTGAAAACATGCCCGAAATGGCCTGTGCTAAAACCCTGGTTTGTTGTCTGAGTTTCAGGGCAGGTCGAACTGCTGAGGGTCCGAAAATGGCCCTTAGTTTCAGGCTGAAAACACTCAGGGCCAGAAAGGCCCTGATTTAGCCTGAAACGACACAGGGCCTGTAGGCCCTTGTTTTCAGGCTTTTGGCTTGAAAACGTCACGGGCATGGAAATGGCCCATGCAGCCTGTTGTAGGCGCAGCATGTAACAAACTACTAGGCCAAGTTCATATCCTACCCCATCATCAAACACAACATATACGAACTAGAGGTGCTAAACAGACCACCACATAATGAACAAATAGAAACCTACCTTCTCAGGAAGGTGAGAGTCGCTCACAGGAAACCCTGGATCATCTTTTAGCCGGAGCTCAGCATTAAGGAGCTGGAATTCGACCCAAAAGAATGGATGTGGGACCTGGACGTCACCGGAAAGTCGAGGACGATAACAGAATACGACGTAAAGTTCGGGTATATTCTCGGACTACAGACCAGGGGCCCAAATCCAAGGCTGACAGAGAAATGTAGAAGCACACTGAACCTAGATGACACAATCACCATCACCATCCCATGGACCAAATACCTTCTCATCAAACCAATCAGAATCCGCAGCTTGAAATGGCTATTAGCACATGAAGCCCTTCCCGTCAACCAATGTTGGAATGAGAGCAAGGCGTAAGGCCAAACACTCTGATAATACAGACACGCAGGTGAAGATGCAAGGTGGGAGAGAAGTGATTCACAGACATACTAGTATGGGTATTCACGACGATGGGGTCTAGCACAACGATTCGCATCCTCTCTTTTGCATTTTGCTATGGCGCACCTCAGAGTTTCATACAATATCTCAGCAAAAATGCGAAAGACCCGAAGCCAAAATATAGCTGCGTCCAGAGACCACATAAGAATGTTTAACCATTCCATTTTTCAAAAACTTTAAACCAAACAACAGCTCATACAAATTCACAGGGACTCAGATCATCAGACCATTAAAGGGAAGAGGTATTGGAAGGGAAGGAGAAGAGGAAGAAAAGAAAGAGAAAGAGAAAGAAAAGGAAGACAAGAGAGGTGGGGAGGAAGGAAGGAATGGGAGGGAACAAAGTCAGGAAAAACGACAAATAAAAAGCTAAGAAGCAGTGGAAATAAAGGAAGAGAGCGCCAGCAGTCATATGATAAGCATGGTCACAAAGTGCCGACAACGATCTCTCTCGAAGCCCAAGCGGTGAACTTTAAAAATATATCATGAAGTACATTTGTGCCATCCCATATGGCGAGAAAAATAAATCAGGCACAACAGCGCCATCATCCATCCCATTCAGCTGAAGAGCAACATGCATCGGCAACGCTTGACATGTTTGGCTACATACTAGAAGGAAACATTCTGACCCTGATAGCTCGGACTGCTGCTCAATGTGCAGCAACAACTTTCCTGAAGACAGCCCACACTGCCTCCTCTTCTGCCCAGAAGCGACATGGGTATGGAAGAAGGTCCGCAAGCTGTGGTCGATCCTGTTCGTTTCACCGCCCCCTGACATTCCCCCTCTCTCTATCCTAATCCTAACTAACATCCCTAGCAACATCACAGGCAGCAGGGAAGTATGGTTCACCCTGCTCAGGAAGCTGGCACTGTGGGTGATATGGAAACGTAGATGCACTCAGACAATCGAGGGTGCAGAGGTGGCTAGGGAAGAAATGTGGTCATTACTCCTGAGCATGGCAGATACGGAAATCAGAAGCAGATGGCGGAGAATGGTCAACTCTATAGGACACAAACCAGAAGGACAACAACCAAGAAACAAACCTTAATGAGGAACTGGTTGCTAAAGGGCAAGGTGGCGACGATAGTTGACGACAGGTTGAGGTGGAAGAATTGGCACCAGGCACAATCATGAAGTCTATAAGGTCTCCTGTCGTGTGCCCTGGCAGAAGGCCAAGAAGACCCCGAATGAGGATCAGCAACAAGGCAAACCGGACTCACAATGAAGGACAAGGACAAGCAATAGAACACTGAGCGGACCCCCCCACTCTTCTCGCATTGCAAGGACTCATTCGAGAGGCTCTGAATAGAAGCCTGAGAGGAACAAATGGTGAGGGCAAGCTGACAGTCAATCCTCCTTAGAAGGAGTAATCAATGCTGGTCAGGGTTCCTTCGGCCAGACGGAAGGAAGCGTCGAGTGGGTAAAACTATGTATTCTTTTGACTTGCTGGAGGAATAGGAACCGGATTGACGCTCCCCAGAATGGATATGGAGCCAGGGCTATAAGGACCTGTAAAAAAAATAATAATAATTAAAAAAAATCAACAAACAAAAAATGGTGGTCAGCCCTCCCTCCTTGTCATCACTCTCTCTCTCTCTTCAAGTCGTCAATGAGCTGCTTCGGCAGAGTGGGCGCCATTGCCGCTGTCACCTGCATCAAGGAGAAGGCCACAACAGAAAATGGTGGTCAGCCCCTCGAAGGAAAACCCTCTCCCCTCGTCCAGCTCCGCCACTCTCTCCTCTAATCCCCCTCGGCTATGCAACATTCCAGCGGGCATTAAAAAAAAAAAAAAAAACGACAAGCAAATCGAATTGCGGAAACAACATTCCAAAAGGAGGAGGAAAAAAAAACTGCAAATGCCAAATTGAGATTTGTAATTTGAAACGGATGGCAACTAGAAGAAGGGGAGGTGGATGGAGAGAGAGGGAGGAAGGAGGAAGGACAAATAAATGAAGAAGAAGGGAGAAAGGAGGAGGGAGAAAGAGAGGAGGAAAGAGGAGGGAGAAGTGAGGTGCTGCGTGGAGGAGGGAGAAAGGGAGGAAGGAGAGGTAGAGATAGACGACGAAAGAGGGGAGAGGAGGAGGGAGGGAGGAGGAGGGAGAGATGGACGAGGAAGAAGGGAGAGAGGAGGAGGGAGAAAGGGAGGAAGGAGGAGGGAGAAAGGAAGGAGGAAAGAGGGGGCAGCGAGTCGAGTCAGTCGACGCGTGGAGGATGGGAGGGGTGGAGGTGCCGCGCAGAGTGAAAGGCCCTGTCGCTAACGTAACAAGGGCAAAAAAAAAAAATGGGTGATTGGATGGTGAAGTGTTCGAAGGACAGATGGATGGAGAGAGGGAGGAAGAAGGAGGGACAGATGGATGAAGGAGAAGGGAGAAAGGAGAAAGGA